GAAAGCAACTGGCTGAGTTGGTCAATTAAAATGCAGCAGTTGTTAAGGACAGATGGACTATGGGACTGTGTTGAAACTGAGGTTTTGAGACAGGACTCTGCTGAGAAAAAACGGCTAGATGAAAGGGCTCGTGCCCAAATTATGCTGTGTTTGAGCAACTCTCAGTTATTGCATGTAGCAAATGCCAGCACAGCGTTTGAGTGCTGGAATTTATTAAGGGCAATGCATGTCAGAGAAACTGCTGGAACTATAATTTCTCTGACCAGAAGGCTGTTCAGGACTGTTATGAAAGAAGGTGAGAGTTTGGCAACTCATCTTCAAACGCTGAAATCTCTGTTTCTTCAACTACAGCAGAGAGGTAAGCGTTATGATGAGACTGACCAAACATACATTATCCTTTCAAGTTTGCCTGAAAGCTGGTTGCCTGTGATTAACAGCATGGAGAGTATGTGTCCCCGAGATCTGACCCTTGAGTATGTGGTTGGAAGATTGACCGAAGAAGCAGAAAAAAGGTCAGATAGGCTGAACTCCAAGAGCGGAGGAGTTACAGTCGAGGGGGGCAGCAGCAGAATCTGCCAATGGAGCAACGCCAAGGTTCGGACTTGGCAATGGCGGTGAGGAGGTGCTATAGATGCAACCAACCCGGGCATCTCCAACGTCAATGCAGGGCAAGACTTCCAGGAGACGACGTGCAGCAGAGACAGCAATCGACGCAGAAACGTAAGCAGAAGGGGTTCTCTTCAGGGAAGAAGAACACGCGTTCTGCTCAGTTTGTTTCTGCATTTTCTCGAGAGGAGAGGAAGATACCTCGAGGAACATGGTTGCTGGACTCTGGGAGCAGTAGGATTATCTGCAACAGTCGGGAGGACTTTAAGACCCTGGGGAAGCCAGCTGATGGAAAAGACTCAATCTATCTTGCTGATGGTCGTAGAAGCAAGATTGATGGCCAGGGAACATGTTTCCTGCAGTGCTTGAACACTACTCTACCAGAAACTCTGTTTGTCAGCAGTTTGGACTATTGTTTACTGTCTGTAAGCTGTTTGATTAATGCAGGGTATAGTGTTAAGTTCACACAGGACGGTTGTCTGGTAAAGAATGGAACTCAGGTATGTGGCCATGCAAAGTTGGAAAATGGGTTATATGTAATGCAGGACAAGCCTGTTAAAGCAGCCCAGGTGGTTCAGGATGGTTCATAAGGGGTGTGTACATGAACTGCACAGAAAACTGGGTCACGCCAATTTCCGTGTGCTTTCAGAGATGCAAAAGGTGTGCAAGAACCTAAAAGTAAATAGCTGTAACTGTTTCCTAGATTGCAATGTATGTAAAATGGCCAAATCTAAGAGGAAGCCTGTGGCTTCTAAAAGTGACAGAGTATCTAAAGAGGTTTTAGAACTTGTCCATTGTGACGTGATAGGCCCTTTTCCACAGAAGACTGAAGGGGCGCCAGATATGCTTTTCTGGTAATAGATGATAAATCACGTTTTAGTTGGCTGTTTTTGTTAAAGCAGAAATCTGAGTGTTTCCCCACATTCAGAGAATGGGTTGCCCAAGCTGAAAAGCTCTTCGCTCGGCCTGTTGTGCAGCTGCAAACAGATAGGGGCGGAGAATTTCTGAACAAACAATTTGGGGCATGGTTGCGACGTAAGGGGATCACTCATCGCTTGACTAACCCTTATAGCCCTGCTGAAAATGGTCTGTGTGAAAGACGTGGGGCTGTAATACAGTCAGTAAAGGACTGCCTGCTAGTGGATGCAGGATTGGGTCACAACCATAGGCTGTGGGGCGAGGCTTTTCTGACAGCAAACTTTTTGATTAATAGAACCTGGTCTAGCTCTATAAAAGATATTCCTTATCGTGTGTTGTTTGGGAAAGAACCAGAGTGGACAATGCTCCATAACTGGGGTGCTTGGGCACATGTAAATATCCCCAAAGCTCAGCGCCAGAAATGGGCGCTAGAGCGCAGAAACTGCGGTTTGTGGGATATCAGTCCTATGGCAAAGGGTGGCGTTTCAATTTACGCCCAGGACGCGTGGTTCTGTCACGAAGTGCAGACTTTGCTGACCAGGACAGATGGACTGCGATCCATGCCAACCCAGATTGCCTACTGCCCCTGCAAGTAAGAGAAGAGGCTTCTTCTCAGCCATTGGCAACACAGGAGCAGAATGAGGAGGAGGCACAGATTTCCCCAAAAGACATGGCAATAGATAATACTTCTCTAGAGGAAGAGGAAGAAGAGCCAGAGATAAGGGGGGAAGAAGAAGTAGTTGTGCCTAGACACTCCCAGCGGTCAAACAAGGGCGTCCATCCTCAGCGTTTGACCCTAGGAGGAGTGAGAGTATGCAGTGTGAGTTGTGTGGAACCACAAAGTTATAATGAAGTCTTAGACTTACCCCCTGGGGAACGTGCTTTGTGGGAACAAGCTATGAAAGAAGAAATGGAATCTTTTAAACGTAACAAAGTGTTTGAGGTCATAATGCCGCCACCTGGTGGCAGAGTGGTGTCATGCAAGTGGGTTTACAAAAGGAAAACCCTTGCATCTGGGGAACCACGTTTTCGAGCCAGATTAGTAGCCAGAGGGTTCACTCAGATTAAAGGGGAGCGTTATGATGAAGTGTTTTCTCCCACTGTAAAGAGTGAAACTTTTCGTTTAATGCTTTCCATTGCTGCTGTAAGACAACTAGCAATGCACCATTTTGATGTTGATGCTGCATATCTGCATGCAAATTTAGACCATGAAGTGTTAATGAGACAACCCCCTGGGTTTGAAGAGGGGAATGGTACAGTCTGGCGTTTGAAAAAGGCTGTTTATGGTCTCAAACAAAGTGGAAGGTGTTGGAACCAGTGTTTAAATGAACCCCTTGTAAAACTTGGTTTTAAAAGGAGTGTGGCTGATCCATGCCTGTACACCAAGGGGACAGGCAACAAATATTTAATGCTCTTAGTCTTTGTTGATGATTTGCTTGTAGCAGGGAGTTCCACAGATGAGATCCAGAAGCTCACAAGTCAACTGGAAAAGAGGTTTAAGCTTAAAGCCTTAGGGCCTGTAAGCAATTACTTGGGAGTAGAAGTACGGCAGGAAGCAGATGGAAGCTTCCTATTGAGCCAGAAAGAGAAAATTCTTCATTTGATGGAGCAGTTTGGCATGGAAAACTGCAAGCCAGTCCAGACTCCCATGACACCAGATTTCCCAAAGACAGTGTGTGATGATGAATTTGATCAGCCTGAGTTGTATCACTCAAAAATAGGATCACTGTTGTATTTAAGCCAGTGGTCAAGGCCAGACATTGCATGTGCTACAAATGTTCTGAGTCAACGTGTATCTAAACCCAGTACTGCCGATTGGTGTGCTTTGAAAAGGCTTATCAGATATCTAAAGGGGACATTAAATGTATGTATAAAGATATCTAGTACACAAGACGAAAAACTAGAAGTATTTGTTGATGCGGACTGGGGAAGCTGTGTAGCTATCAGAAAATCTACAAGTGGAATGGTCATGATGTTTGCCAATTCCATAATTGGATGGAGGTCAAGGAAACAAGGATTTGTTGCGACCTCATCCTGTGAGGCAGAATATGGGAGCCTATCGCTAGCATGCAATGAAATCATGTGGTTTATACAGATACTAAAAGATCTAGATTGTAAAGTAGATTTGCCTATCCAAGTGTATGAAGATAGCCAATCGTGCATTGCATTAGCGGGCTCAGAAATAATGAAATCTGCATCAAAACATATTGCTATCCGTCATGCGAATGTGAGAGATTGTGTACAGAATGGGGTGATCAAACTGGAGTATTGTCAGTCACAAGATAATATTGCTGATTTGTTTACCAAGCCTTTGCCAGCAACATGTCATAATGAATTGATGACAAAACTGGGTTTATGTATATAATGTATGTATGTATTGTATGTATTGTTTCTGTTGGGGTTTTTCGCATTTAAGAAACAGAAGGGGTGTCACGGCTAAAATGGCTGCTGTTTCTTTAATGCGAATAAAGCTGGTCAGCATAACTCAGCGGCTTGCAGCAGGTTGTATATATATATAGTGAGAAATGTTAGTCTGAGACTGAGGCTGGTGTTTGGGTTGGTTGGTTGGTTAGTGCTGGTGTGTATAGTTATTCAGTCGTGTTTTGCACAAAGACTTTTAAGAATTAAACTCTGCAAGGATATTCTCGTGGACTCTTTTGTGCCGACAAGGGTCCGAGGACCAGGCTGAGGAGACAAAGGGAGGTCAGAACCCTTTCCTTCTTTTTTTGCTTTTACAAACACTGA